CTCGGTGAAGCAGATCACCTGCCAGATGGTGCCGTTACTGCCGATGCCCTTGCTACTGCTAGAGGCTCCGCCTGCTGAAGTGGCCGATCCTGATCCGCCTCCTCCACCGCCCGATCCTGATGCTGCGGCCGCTCCACTAGCCTTGTCCTCGCGATATAGACGCGTGCCGTAGAGTACCAGTAACCCGAATTTTTTGCGTCGTAGCCGAGGGCTCCACGCGTAAGCTGTCCGCTCTAGATTGCTGAGAATGACCTGCACATCGGCCGAGTCGAGGCGGAAGTGGCACAGGTCGTGCAGGATGGCAGGCGCTTGCGCACGGGCAGCGACTGGAAGTCAATGTCCGTGTCGAGTGGTTCTCGGTCTGGTGCAAACGACACTGTTGGCGCAAGAAGCGGCGCAAGAACATCTGATAGTTGCTGTGTGTGATTCCTTGGCTACCGACTGTAGCGCATCGCAGCCCTTGAGCAGGCGCACAATTAACTCGGGCACTAGGGCGACCTGATCTTCATCGCTGTACCATCGGAGAGCAGCGCCGATTCGAGTCCTGTACGGTGATAGCAAGATTATTATATTTCATTTTATACAGAAAGGCTGGGGTTTGGCACTCACCTCGATATCGATGTCGGGCAGATCAAGGCGGAACTAAACAATGACAGAAATGCGAATACACGGTATCTCCCACCATGATTGAATATCTGAAAGGAAGACATTATTTTTATTCCATATTAAAATTCTTATTTCATTTTTTGTACTCACCCAGTAGGCCAATGAAAGTAGAAACCATTTATGTATGCTTGCTTATTGGAACGTTGCTCCTCTGCGGATTTGTGATTTCTTGACTAAAAACAATTTTGGGTGCTCTTTGGTAGCTCGCTCTGCATGGATTTCGGGCTGTTTATTTTTTTTTAATACGAAAATATGCGAATAAGGGTTTTCAGGCGTTAACAAATTGTTTCAAGTTACACACGAAAGTCCGCAAATGGCGGCACAAAAAGTGCGAGGCAACAAAAAAAATGTGTGCAACATGTGTATGTGCGTGCGTTGCTGCTGTTGTTGTTGTTGTTTTCGTGGTTTCTCTCGGAATATTTGGCGGCGCTATATACACAAACATCTGGGCTTTATCACTTATCACAGGCATTGCGATGCACCGCAAAAGCACGCGAGGCGCGTGGCGGAGAAGGGAGTGGGCGGTGATAGTGGGATGGTAGGTCAAAAGAAAGTACACGAGCACCCCTTTCGCGCGCTTATTTTCACGAAGAGAAAATCAAAACAGACAGCCGACAAACGGGGAATGCGAGCGCCAGAGCGGGATGGCAGGAGTGTGGCCGACCAATAGCGGCGCCGCTCACTTTTTCACGTTTGCATGCCGTCTCGCTCGCTCGTCGTTACTATTTTGACTACACTGCACTCGTTTATTTTGCAATTATAATGTGCAATTTACACGGCTCTTTGGGCTGCTTTTGGCCCAGGGCATCTCACGCGATTGCTGGGGCTGGGCAGGGACTTTCGTGGGGACTTTTGGACGCGGAGCGAGCGATTTGCGATGCGACTACCGAATTCGGAGCATGCGCGCGGGGGATGACGACGGCGCCTGGTGCGCCTTTTTTCTGTCTCTGCCTTCCGCCTGCTGGCCAGTGTGTGTATTTATTTTTATTAATACACGTATATATATTTTTCAGTTACGTGCGAAAATGTCATTTAACTTAAGAGACGCCCATTCCACCGATCAGCGTTGCGCTGCGCTCTTTTATTTCTCCTGCTTTCCCCACACGCACACGCACATTGGCACACACACGCACATTAGAGGCTCCATCTCCATCTGCCTTTAAATATAATTAATTATTTCACAACAAAAAGCAGCGGCCGCAGCACATACACAACCGGAGCGAGGGTAAATACTTTGCTAGCACTTTGGAATCCCGTGGGTTCTGGCCGTGGCGCGGATAACTCGAGTTTTCCGTTTTTTGCGCTCCTGGTTAATTTTATTTTCCTTCTGCTAGAGCTGCAAGAACGTCGATGTCACTACCGATATTATTGCGGCAACGAGTACGATAGCAATTGATTGCAAGCGATGGCCTAAATTTCGTCACATTCTGGTGATCGATAGGGATGGGAGGTAGCAGATTTGGTACCACAGCATTTAATTTTATTTGGATCCACCCAATATCTAATACATTATAATTTACAAAAATAGATGTTAAAGATAAAAGATACCATATATATTATATCTACAGTTTTGCAGTTAGGATTTTCCATTCCTACTGCAGCTACATATATGATAAAATTAAACAATTTTTCGTCCGATTAAATAAACAGTCTATTTAATTCATTACAACTAGTTTATTCAAGTCTGCGCCATTAATTTATTAAATAGTAGTTCATTAAGCTCTTCGTTATTTTCTCATATCTCTGCTGCTTCCACCGCAATCGATATATCGATACATAATCTCCAAATTCGTTTTCGTTCGCCATTCGGTTCTGCCTCTTCTCCCCCCCTTACTTTGCTTCCTTTTCCTCACCCCAGACACCGCGCGACCAGCTGTGAATCTAACCTAACTTTTCGGTCCGCTAACTACATGGTGGCATGCATGTATGTGTTGTTGTTCCACATGCACGTGTGCCTAAGTGTGCGTGCATGTTACCATGTAGGTCGCCATGTATTCTAGAGTAACTACATGACATAAACCGCGGGGAGCGGTGAAGGGCCACCAATTAAAGATTAACCAAAATAATTCGTTATTTCAAAAGCAACTCTGGCGTTTGGGGAGTAGCAAGTATTTTTAAGTTTCTGCATGCCTCTTAAAAGTAGTAAGCCCGCAGTTTGAGTGGATGAACCGCCTCGCCTTGGGGAGTCCCACCATGTAGGTCTATCTACATGGCGATTCTAGCTTACATGGCGAGACACACTGCGAAACTGGTTTGGGAAGGGTTTCTGCTCTCGAAAAAATGTGTGGTGGTGATTTTAAAAGCCTCCCCTAAGAATTTTTTAATTCTTTTTCCATATATTGCAAATATGGGTTATTATTTAAATGTTTCAATTAGAGTTTTAAAATATGAGAAGATACATATTCATTTTATTTTTTGGAGTAATTTAAGAAATGTAATTTAAATAATTAGTTTCAAGCTCAGAAGTCGGAATTAGTATCCCGTGTCTCTTCCTTTTTGAAATCTGCATTGATTAGGCATCAGTTTTTAATTTTAAACTGAGGGTTTTTCAAGCTTTGGTTCTTAATTTTAATTAAGTTTTATATACAAATACCCAAAAAGCTATTTTGTATTTTATACATACCAATGTAGTCTTTATTTTAAATTCTTTATTGATTAATTAGCGATTAAAGGGGGGAAGGATATATCATAATTAGGCGAATCATTACAAATAGTAACCAACCAGTGTTGGTGGGGGTGTGGGGTGTGTGTGTGATAGTGTATTTACAGGTGTGGGTGCCGCAGCTGTGGCAGCTGGAGCAGCGCAGGCAGGTGGTGGGTCAGCAGGAGAAGCTGCTGCTCCTGCTACGGTTCGATCTTGCGTATTTTTAGGCCTCCGCTGGGGCCGCGCGGTGTTAGCGGAACTCCAGGTGAGCCTGCCACCGACGCCGCACCTGCAGTTGCCGCGTTAGCCACCTGGGGCATGAGAGGACCCCGTTGCTGGTCTCCCCGGTGCCGTTCCCATTACTGGGACCTGAGGCGGAACCGTTTTGCAGGCGCCGCTTCAGCACAAACGCTTGGAGGCCGCCGGGGCGGCCACCGGGGCTGTCGCCGGGGCTGCCGGCACGATGGCCAATGTGCCGGTTTTGGCAGTCTGCGTGGGCACCTCCTCGTTCACAGGATCCACTTCCATGTCAGTGCCCGCATTGTTCTCGTCGTGCAGATCACTGGAAGGCTCCTCGTCGTCGTGGCCCTCCTCCTCCTCAAACTCGGCGCTCTCCGTGTCCTCGGATACTCAACCAGCTGGCCGTTGAGGGTGGGAAACTCTATCACCGGCAGGACTTGGCGCTGCTGCTGCTTATTGCCCTCGTCCATCAGCTGCTGGATGAGATTGGCGATGTCCTCGCGCTTCTTGGTGACGGTGAGGAAGTCAAACCAGTTGGTCAGCTGCTTAATGGGCAGCCGGTAGTCGCGGATGGGCTCGCTGAAGAACTGCTCCACGTACTGCAGCAGGTAGAGGCCGCAGTCGGTGAAGTTGTTCTGCTGCGGCACCTTAACGCAGTGGCCGGGCATGTTGTCCTTGTTGAAGACGTGCGCCTGCGCATCCGGCTTCTTCACGCGATACTCGCAGGTGAGGTAATCACGCAGCGTGGCCACCACGCGGCTGCGCGAGCAGGCACCCGCCAGGGAATCGAAGATGAGGATCAGCGGCTGCTTCACGGCGGGCACATCGTCGGCTCCGCAGGTCCTAGCTGGACCGCTGGACGCCGTGGGCTGTGCGGATGGTTTCGGGGTGCTGCTGCTAGCGGGTGTAGCCGTAGAGGATTCCTTGGCGGAATTCGAGTTCTCACTGTCCTCCGATGCCATGTCGCTGTCATCTCCCTCAGCCTCATCACGCTCGCTCTCATCGTCCGCTATGCGGCAGATATTATCTGATGTGAGGGCGGCCGGAAGCTGTCCTCCTTCGCCCCTCTTAGTCAGTGGTGTAATAGTTGTGTTGCCAATCTGAAGCGACACCTTCTTGCCGCGCGGTCGCTTTAGCTGCTGCGGCTCCACAGGCTGGTTGGTGTCGTAGGTCACGGGTCCTTTTAGTTGGGGAAGCAGATGATGGCCAGGAACCAATGCGACTGCTCGTTGATAGGCACGATAATGAAGTCCTTGTCAAAGATATCCACGCCCTTGGTCCACTTCTGGACGCGGGCATGACGCTTCTGGGCGGCAGTCTGCTTCATGTCCGTGGGACGCGTCAGCGTTGTCAGGCGTTTGTAAAAGAAAGTGCTAAAAATATGAGTACGCTCGCGCAGAGCCTTCGGAATCTGGGTGTGCGCAGCCAGACGAGGTAAAATCAATGATTATGTCGTGAGGTACGACTCCTGGTGAGACACACATAGTCCCATCCGTATGCACAGGCTGCCGGAGGTCTTGGGCGGATACATCAGAAGGTGACCTGCTCATCGCCCTCAATTGGCGCGGCGGCGGTGGCTGCTGGAGCTCTTATCCAGTGCCTTGCGGTCTGAATCGGCGAGCCGCTCCAGGATCTCTGCCGCATCGGCGAGGAAATCTCGTCCACGCAACTAAACATTGACTTGATGGTGCCGCGACTGAGGGGAGATCTGTCAAGATTAGGATGAGGCGGCGAATGTGGAACGAACTGGTGCCTTTGAACAGGTTCTGAAAAAAGTAACAAACAGAGAGCACGCTTAGTAATCTTTATATGTAACTACACCAAGATTCCCCTTAAAAGTAGGCGAAACGCAAACTTTCCCCAATTTAAATTACAAATTCTATTAATTCAAGTGGACTCACGTTCGCTGGCCTGATCGTCAGGCAGGAGGAGCTGCGTCTTCATACTGGGCGCACGTCTTGAGCAGGTAGAGCGTGACGAGTGGCAGAGCGGCTCCGCGCTACCAAAGTGCGCTATTACCTTGATCACCTCGTGCTTGTGGATGTGCAGCGTAAACTTTGTATCCTTGTCCGGCACAACGCCTGCGATGCGGACGCCCTCGATGTGAAGGTTATCTGCAATTATGCAAGGATGCAAGGATGCGAAGAGAGAATGCAATTTATTATACACATTTCGGCACAGAGGGGGTGGGGCGTAGGTACTACTTACCGGCTCTGTGATCTCGTAGCGGTAGGGCACCAAACGGATGCAGCTGCAGTTCACCGATGTGGAGAAGCGCTCCGTCTCCGGGATATCAGACAGATCCGTCACGTCGCCGCGCACAAAGTCTGTTAAGAAAGAAAAGGTTGACATTCATTAAATAATGAAATTCTTTTCTCGCTTCCTCCTCGTGGCTTGTGCGTGTCGCACATTTTCATTTACACATTTCGCACACAAACACTGTTTTTACCTTCGGCGTTCATTGTGTTTAAAATACACAAATAAAAACTAAAACACTACGGTAGATTTCTCTGATTTGTGAAAATTGCGAGAGAATTTGGGAAAACGATGTGTTTCTCGCCTTCGCTTGCGCTTCTCTTTCTCTATCGGTTTGCCTTGCGTAAAAATGGCGTGCTCTGTCTGACTCCCCCTAGCGGAATGTGACAGTACCGCTTGCTGAGAGGCATTGCCAGCACAAAAAAAAAACCGAAAATATACAAAATACGACATTGCTTACATCAGTGTTGCCACTGCGGGGGAAAATGAGCTAAAATAGCTAAACAAAAAAAAAGGCTAATTAAATAAAGTTGTTCTTATTTTAAATTAATTAGCCTTATTTCCACTTATATATTTAGTTGCAAAATTTGCATTCTGATGAATTGCAATTTTTAAATTTTGTAAGCAACTTTTTTTTAAATTTATCTAATTTTGAATTTACATAAATAACTCGATTGATTATGGCTTACCTTTGTACAAGGGTCCTCATCTATCTCGGTAGCTGTGGTTCGCAGGCAAAGGCGGCGGGCAATTGGTGGAGATTTCCATTGATTCAGTTTGGAATTCGTCGAGGACTGGAAAATATATTTAATAAATAATATCAACAGGTTTTTATAATTTGAAAAAATCTATAAGGGGTTTAAAAACAAATAAATAAGCTTGTAAATTTAAGAGTACAAAGGATCAGGAAGCTCTCTACATTAAAACTATTACATTTATTAATGGGAATGCATCTCCAAGACTTACATTTCCCGTCTCCGTGTTGGTCTCATCGGCATCGGCTTCATCCTCACTGCTTAGCAAGACCACCGGATCCACCTCAGCTGCCCGCCTGCCGCCTCTGGCTCTGCCGCCACGTATGGCCATCGCTCCTCTGCCACGGGCACCAGCTCCCACTCCTGGGTAGGCCACTCCAGCCAGCTGCTTGCCGTATCGAGCGACGGCCGCCAGTTCTCGTTTCTTTTCCGCCGCAGCTGCTCCTGCTGTCAGGGGCTGTGCTGGTCACTGGCCGTAGACGAGGAGGAGGCTGGCGAGGAGGCAGCACTTGACTTGGCAATGTAGGACTTTCGCTTGGGGGGCTCGGGAAGACGCGCTTGCAGCGCTCACAGCGAGCGTGATCCATGCCCGTGAAGCCACATAGTTGGCACACGGCGAGAAAGCCATCGATTAGCTTGCGACTCTCCGCAGGAGTTGCTGCTCCTGCTGCTGCTGCTCGGAAGATGCTGCGCCCATGGCATCGTTTGGTTTGCTGAACTTGCGGCCTCTCGTTTTGCCTGCTCGGCGGCAGCGTTTGCCTGGGCGTACGAAGGGGCAGCGTTCGAAGTGGCAGGATTGGCAGCGGCTCCTCCGGGCACTGGGGCTGGGTTGTCCTGCGAACGGTTCATCTGCAGGCTTTCCTCCGCCCGGGATATCAATTCGCTGGCAGACTCGTTTACCGAGAAGCCCACAGTGACCACGAAATCCACGTTGGCGCCGCGGTGCTCCACGCACTGTATGGTGGTGGCGTTGTCAAAGGCACGCCGACCTGCTCGAGGAGGTCCTGCACCGTGCAGGATTCGCGGGCAGGGTGAAGGTGATTAAACGTTGCTCGCCGCTGGCCAGGATCACTAGCATCTTGGCGCTGTTCTTGTCGCGTTCCGCAATGGGCTGGCCGGCCCGGTTGTTCAGGACATGCTGCGAGTGGATCTCGTAGTTGTTGTGCGAGGTCTGCTGCACGGACGAGCCCTGCGAGGCAGTTGAAGCTGTGGCGGGGGCGGTGGGAGCGGTGGGAACTTGAGCCACCACTGGCGCTGGAATCGTCCTTTGGGGCTGCATAATCCTCGTGCCCGGCGGCAGTCCTCGCCTCCTTGACCCTGCAGCTTGGACGCTGGCCTCACTAGTGTTCCTGGGGTTGCGGCCCTCATGGGGGTGAGGCCGGGGTTGGGTGATGGTGAAGCACTGAGGGTTTGCCGCTTCTAAACTCCGCCAGAGTCATGCTGGCTCTCCAGCGGTACGCATACCCTGGACCTGGCCCTGCACGACCTGCTGCTGCTGCTGTTGTTGTTGGTCCTCTTCCTGGGTGGCTGCTCCTGGTCCGGGATAGTAGGTGGTTAGAGTAGTACCGGTTCCTATCTGCATGGGAGGCAGCTGCGGTGGCGGCTGAGGCTTCTGCTGTTCCTTCTTGAGGACTGCCGCCTGAATACGATCCTCCAGGTCCATGCCAATATTGCTGTTCGTGGCTTGGACCACTCCACCAGCGGGATTAGCGGCGGACGCTGCTGTGGGTACAGGAGTGGGCACAGCTGAGGCCAACGCAACGGGAGCTCTATAGCGAATGGGAGCCTGGCGCATCATCAGCATGTGATGCTGCTGTTGCTGCTGGGGACTCCCGTCGCTGACCATGTGGGTGCGATAAATATGACGCTGTTGCTGCTGCAGCTGCTGCTGTTGTTGAGGCTGCTGCTGGCCGAGATTCGTGCTGATAGTGATGTGCTTCATCTGGGTCTGGGTCACTATCTGCATGGTCTGACCACCGTCGGCGCCGCTCGTTTGCACAACCAATTGAGCTCGAGTTGGCCGTATGCCGGTCGGACGCATATTCCGAACGATTCCGCCGGGCACGGAGGCACCCACGACTCCACCTCCACCTCGCGGGCGGACTTGCCTCACGATGGTCGTCGGCGTGAGCGTGGGTCTGGTGGATATAAGGGTGCCTGGTCTGGCCACGACAGCTCCTCCACGCGGGGATTCCCCCTGAAGAGGCTCTCACCAGTTGCGTTCCGCCGGCGGCAGAGGTAGCTACCAGTTGCGGCTGTTGCTGTTGCACCAACTGAGGCTGTTGCTGCTGCTGTGGTGCTTGCTGCTGTTGCTGGGGCTGGGGCTGTTGCTGCTGGACCTTCTGGACCTGAAGCTGCTGGTAGACCACGTTTGAGTTTGCTGCGGCACGACGCGAGCCTGAACCAAGTGAGCTGTCTGAGTGGTGGCCTGGAGTTGCAACTGCTGTTGCTGCTGCTGCTGCACTTGCTGTTGCTGAACGTGTTGCTGGAGGACGTGCTGTTGCTGCTGGTGCTGCGGTGAAGTGGCGTAGACAACTCGATTATTGTACGGATGAATGGCGGTGGCCTGCCGCATAATCAGCTCCTGATGCTGCTGGGCTTGGATCAACACCGGTTGCTGCTGGACGATCACATGAGTGTTGTTCAGCATACTTAATGGCCTTTGAGGTTGCTGGGTGGTTGTCATGCGGTAGACGATTTGCTGATGCTGCTGCGGCTGCTGTTGCTGCTGCTGGGCAGGCGACGTTTGCAGCTGGAGCGTTTGTGGCTGCTGCGCTTGCGGGTGCTGCTGTTGTTGCTGCAACTGGGGTTGTTGCTGGGGAGAAGCCTGAACCTGATAGGTGGGCGCATGCTGTTGGTATTGCTGCTGCTGTTGTTGTAGCACCTGCTGCTGCTGTTGCTGCTTCTTCTGCTGCTGCATGTGCTGGACAATGGCATTGGGCTGCAGTACTTGCTCGGAGGTGTAGTAAATTTGCTGAGTGTGCTGAATGGCGGGTTGCTGGTGCTGCACATATTGTTGCTGTTGCTGTTGCTGCTGCTGTTGTTGTTGCTGTTGCTCCATGTGGATTTGCTGCTGCTGCTGGGGGTCTTGCTGCTGGTAGTGTACCTGCTGTACTTGGTGTTGCTGATGATGCATCACGACCTGCTGCTGTTGCTGCTGCTGCTGCTGTTGGTGTTGTTGCTGCTGCTGCTGGGCCAAATCATCGCCACCAATAATGTGGTAAGCAGGTGCCGGCGCCTGTTGCGGCTGCTGATACTGGGATGGAGCTGCGGTTTGGTACACAACTTGCTGCTGCTCGTTAAACACCAATTGCTGGTCGTCCTGCAGCACCAAGGACTGCAAGATAGGGTAGGATAAATTAATAAATTAAAGGTAATGGCGGTTTTGTGATACTACTCACCCCAACCTCATCTTGGGGCATTTGCACTACCTGCAAATCGGAGTACACTGGATCCTCTAGGGGCACTATATATTGCTCCATATCTGAAGAGCTGGAAAATTAGGGGAGAGGTATTAGATTTTACTTGCTGAGCATTAACGCGACTATCAACCTGCAGAGGATAGATCGAATTAAATGAATATATGAAATCTGTTGCTTATATTTACAATTTCATAAAACACATCTTTGCACGAATTAATAACAAATATTCAAAGCCTCTTTATTTCAACTTCCGTTGCTTTTCCCTTCAACAAATACACACAGTAACAGAAAAATCAATAAATAACACATAAAGGAGACAAATCAATGGAATATATGTATAATATGCCACACATAACCAAACAGACGCTTATACAAGTCTTCAACATATTCATCTATTACAACACATTTCTGCACAAATAACTGTGCATGCGTCTCTTTTTTGGAACGACATACAGTGGATCGCAGCTTATTTCGTGCAGTCGCAAACTAAAAGTTTAAACCTCCACTGCTTCTAAACTATCAAAGATATTTCAAAAATTAAATGAAGGTTGGTACAGCAGAATTTGTAGATTTGAAATTAATAAGAAACCTTTTCTTAATTACAAAATTAAAACATTGAGATAAAAAATAAAACTTTTTGAGCTTTTTTTGTGCCGCAGCTTATTTCGTGCAGTCATTTTATACAGACGAAATTCTAACTTTTTTGACTAGAATATTACATTTTAACGCCAGTTTTGGTATTTTTGGTATTTATATTAAAATATCTAATGAGAATTTTGTCTTGGTCACATGGAAATACGAAAATTTCGGGGAATTACAAAACATGGCACCTCGAACAACTATTCAACAACGAGAATTAGTTCTCAAACATTTTAAAGATGGAACAGCCAGCGTGCTATTGCGGAGAAGGTTAAACTAAGCTCTAGCACTGTACAATATATAATTCAACGCTTTGTTCATGAAAATCGGGTGGAAAATAAAGGTCGAAATGCACCAAATAAAATTTTAGCGAGAAGGAGGAGCGTCGCATAGTAAGAAAATTAAACAAAATCCGAAGCTATCGGCTCCAAAATTGGCTGTGGAGATAGAGAACGAATGGGCAAGAAGTGTAGCCCGGATACAGTGCGCCGGATCCTCCACGAAAACAACTTCAATGGTCGAGTAGCTCGAAAAAACCATTTATAAACCAGAATAATCGGGACTACCGCTTCAAATTCGCTAAGGAACATCTACTCCATCCGATTTCCTTTTGGGACGACGTCATCTTTGCAGATGAATCAAATTTAACATTTTGGTTCGGATGGGCGTCATTATGTTGGCGGACACCAAATACCGAGCTAGACCCCAAACACCTAAAACCAACGATTAAGCATGGCGGGGGTCACGTTATGGTTTGGGCCTGTATGTCGGCCTCTGGAGTCGGAAACCTGGTTTTTATTGACAGCATAATGGACGCCAATCAATATCTGTCAATATTGAAGGAAAACCTTCTCCAAAGTGCCAAGAAACTGGGCATACGCGATCGTTTTCGCTTCTACCAGGACAACGACCCGAAGCATACGTCTGGAATTGTGAAGACCTGGCTCATCTGGAAATGTCCACACGTTGTGCGAACACCAGCACAATCACCAGACTTAAATGTAATAGAAAATCTATGGCAAATTTTGGACTCCGCTATTCGGAAACGACAGATTTCGAACAAAAACGATCTAAAATCTGCTTTGGTTGAAGAATGGCAAAAATTCCCATCGAAACGACCAAAAAATTGGTGGCCTCAATGGAAAACCGTCTGAATGCTGTCGTAAAGCAGAGGGGAGGCCACACAAAATATTAAGTTAATTTTTAGAATGTAGAGATAAAAATCTTGAAGTGCACGAAATAAGCTGCGGCGTTAAAAATTTCTATATTTTGTTTTTCTTCTTTTATTCTGTAAGTTTGATAAATATGAAGTTTGTTTTAGTTTATTAAATTTGTTATTACTATAAGTTAAAAAATTGCGTTTAAATTTTTGAAATATCTTTGATGGTTTAGGAGCAGTGGAGGTTTAAACTTTTAGTTTGCGACTGCACGAAATAAGCTGCGATCCACTGTACAAAGGTATATCGAACCTCAAACACATGCACAGGCAAAGGGTTAAAATGCAAATTATTTACAATTTCCAGAGCGTTAGAAACAAAAGTGTTCGGTTCTTCAGCAAAACAGATATTTGACGTAGTCTTTTTCACATATATTTGACCTTTTTTAAGCGCATTTCTTATACAATTACTGGGCATTTCTTGCGCCTCAATTTTTTTCTTTTTTGGTCGGGTTTTCACACACACATAACAAACACACACCTCGGAGACTTTCCCAAAAACGCAACTGTGTGACGCCGCTGGTAGTACTCGTTCGCTGTATCCCTTGTGCCCGGGTTAAAGCATATTTTAGCTGGATCTTTTCACTATTTTTATGGTGATAACTCGCATTTTAAATTGAAAATTCACGCTTTCTTCTTTTTATAAAATGCAGAAGAATCAAATATGGCGTTCAGATGCAGAGGAGCATTTTGTCACATTTTCGTGCTGGCAACGCCGTCTGTAGCAGAGCGCCCCTGGCGGCATCGCCGCTCCGCAGCTGTTTACAAACATTTAGCAGCGTTGTGTTTTGTGCTGCTGTTTATCGATGTCCGCTTTGTGCCGTCGTCTTCGCCTAATGTTTAGTGGTCCCTCTGTTTGGCATGTAGCCCGTTTATCGGGACCACTAAACTTTCGGACCACTGGAGTTGGCTTGAAATCGCCTGATTTTCGCGTCGAACCCCGTTTTCCAGGCTTTGATTTAATTTTTGGCAACATATTGGAGTTGTTAAGTCGGAGTTGCGTGATAACGGAATTTTTCGGCAATTAATATCGCGGTTTTGGGCACTTGTGTTTTGTTGTTCGCAGCGCGCTCCGCGAATTGGGGGAAGAAGCAGACGGGCCAACAACAACAGCAGGCGTTAGAGGTGGCAGGCAGGCGATAGACCGAAAAGCGATTATTTTCGACATTTTTCGAATTGTTCATCGCATAGAGAGAAGATATAGAAGACTAAGAATAAAAATGTCAAAATAATAATATGTATTAACTAAAATATACTATTCAAATCTTAACAGTTTAAATAACGAAAACTTCAAAAATCGATTTTATCCCTAATAAATACATAATATGTGTTTGGTGTAAATAAAACATATTAAAAATCTTTAAATATAAAATATACAACACATATTTAAATAAATATATTCCTATATTTTCCTATTGCCGCTTCTTCCTCCCTTTGTGGGACTTCTATTTGGCCCAACTTTTTTCTTCTTATTTGTCACGATTTTCAACACTGTCTGTGACCAACACTTGCTATATTTCTGCATTACTGCACACTGCTCCATAAAAACAAAACAAATTAATAAAATGTCGAAAATATTTACGCCCACAAATCAAATTAGGCTTACAAATGTCGCAATTGTGCGTCTTAAAAAGGGAGGCAAGCGATTCGAGATAGCCTGCTACAAAAACAAAGTCCTATCCTGGAGGAACAACAGGTGAGCCTACAAATTCCAGCACGTGTTGTAAAATATGAGCTCCGAAATTTGTGGACAATTTCCTAATAAGACGTAATTCCCTAATTAAGCGAAAAGGATATAGATGAAGTCCTCCAAACGCACACAGTGTTCACAAACGTGTCCAAAGGGCAGGCCGCCAAGAAGGACGAGCTTCAGAAGGCTTTCAACAAAACGGATGAGACCGAGATCTGCAAGGAAATCCTAAGCAAAGGCGAGCTACAGGTATCGGAGAAGGAGCGCCAGAGTGTCCTGGACACACAGCTTAACAGCATAGTCAACAGCGTGGCCGCTCTGTGCGTGAATCCCGAGACCCGGCGGCCCTACTCGTCCTCAATTATTGAGAAATCTCTGAAGGATGCCCACTTTTCCGTCAAAATGAACAAGAACACGAAGCAGAACACACTGGAGGCCATCAAGATGTTGCGGGAGCACCTGCCCATCGAGCGGTCGCGCATGAAGCTGCGCGTAAGCTTTGCAGGCAAGGAGGGCGGCGGTAAGCTGAAAGAATCGGTGGTTAAGCTTGCCAACACCGTGGAGCACGAGGAATGGGAGGAGGCCACACTGCATCTTACGCTACTCATAGATCCGGGCCAATACCGTGTCATTGACGAGCTGGTGAGAAACGAGACAAAGGGCAAAGGGCTGCTGGAGCTGCTCGAACTCAAGGAGGTGGTGGAGAGCGAGGAACTTTTTTAGGAAACTCGAAAACCACTAAATTGTGAATTCTTCTGTTGATATTTATGTGAAACATAAAGGAAAATATTTTGAAATATATAAAGCATCCGATTTTATATTCAATCGCGGCTTAGCTTCGTTAATATATGATATTGTCAGAACGATGTTATTTCATTAGACCTCTTTAATCGATTATATTTAAAACATCTTTGAAACAAAATTTAAATACATATCGTTTGATTTTCAAGTGATGTTATTGCTGATTTAATATTACAAAACTTTCATAAATTATATTTAAAAGACGAATACAGTTTAAACAATTGAAATCTTCACATTTCACATAGAAGAAAAGAAATAACAATTCAAGTGGATATTAGCTTACTAGAAGTTCTTTAACATATATCTGGCTATCTTTATAGAACCGAAAAGGAGATTATCTGTATAAAATATATAGGTAGCTTATTGAATGAGTTTCCACCGCTTCACTTCCGCTTCTTGAGGTTCTCAAAGCGACGCGACAGCTCATCGAAGTCAATCTCGTCGTCATCGTCCTTCTTCTTTTCCACACCCCCGGACGGGACATCGGGCAAATCGTTGGGTACATTGGGCAGCGATGGGAAGTCCAGGGAAGCCGGCGGAGCACTGGGCTGCTGCGCTGGGGGATTGCCCGGTGGCAGCTTGGATCGGGGTTGAGGTTTCGGTTTGTTGGCATTCTGCGAAGGGAAAAATGTATGCTTATTAAGAAATTCTTCTTATAATCACTTGTAATCAAAAAATGAAAACCCTAAATTTAAGTCCTGACCTGCAGGTTTACGGGATTAATCGAGGTGTAACGCGGCGGCGGATCATTATCGGGTTGGGGCGCTGTCAGGCAAAAATTAAACAAAATAATATGCAAATCATAAATAAAAACGGGGACATAAATGATCAAATAACGATATCCGAGACAAGCAAAATGATAACACAACAGGCATGCGGGCAGAGACAGCGGGCAGCAAACTATGAATCACTTGGGTGACTGGACTTACACGCACAGTGGCCATGGGCAAAGGCACAGAAGACATCACACAGAGTTGTATAGGGAGAGAGAGAGCCCATAGAAGCGGAGTACATTTGTTTAGTATATGTGGCAAGACGGTAAGCGAGTTAGTTTTGTTTTCAAGAGAAGATTACACCGAGATAACCTACCAAGATGTTCTCATCCGGGCTGCCAGAGTCATCCGTTGTGTTCGATTCACGCTGCAAGACAATGGGCTCAGAAAATCATGCAACTACATGCGTAAACTTGACTACAAATTCTTATTTTAAGAAAACAGCTGTGATTGGGGTAAAGAAAGCACTAAAAGGTGATACGAATACATTTTTGTTCAAGTACAGACTCTTATTGAGCGCGGTTTCAAATTAGGATTTAAAGAGCGTAGGAAAACAGGACGTATTTAGATAGGGAATAAGAGGAAATTAAGGCTAAAATCTACTCATAAGCCTTTCCCAATCACAGCTGTCCTTTAACCAAAGCATTAAGCATTTTCTATTAACTAAATAATCAATTAAAAACTTTCAAACAATATTTACATTGATAAAGTTGGTGTTCAGATCCTTCTCCTCTGAGCATTTGGGAGGCAAGACAGCAGGCGGCGCTGGCTGATGCGGCGGTATGTTGTAGGCAAACGGCGGCGGCGGCTGCTGTACGGGTGGAGGGACAGCACAGGCTCCACCGCCTCCTCCGCCACCTCCTCCGAAAGGTGGATAGTTAAATGGCTTGCTGCTGGGTGGCTCCGGCATATGGGGCAACGGGGGCACCTGCGGATACCCTATAAAACCCATTTGCGGAGGTGGTGGGCCTCCGGGACCCCCACTTAGGTTATTCTTATCGGACAGATCAATCAGATGCTGCTGCGGCGGCTGGTCCTCCTGCATGACCTGCGGATCCGGCTCGTACTCGATGTTGTAGTTCTTGGCTATGGCTATGAGGTACTTCTCCACCAGCAGCTTTGGCGGTGCCTGCAGCGTGAGCTTGTGCATCAGTTTTTCCGATACGAAATGCTCTCCGGTGGCCGTGCGCGAGTGCTCGGCGAACTCCGGACCATACTTGCTCACAAAGATGTCAGAAATGATCTTTAGCTCGGCGATGTCGCTTTGGAGGCGGGGACACACCCACACCAGGCTGGCCACCGGCTCTGCGATCCCTGTATCCAGTTCCTTCATCTGTGTGATGAGTCCGAAGCGGGCGAGCAACAGGTCGCAGTACATTTCCACCATTTCCATGGCTTCCACCAGGTAGTCCTCCCTGTAGAGAGGAGACTGCAGTGTAAACGTGGCCTTTATATAGCTTAGCCCACTCCCCCGCCATACCTTATAATGTGCTCTACACGAATACGTGCCCTCTCCGTCTTGCCCGTGGCCAAGTAGTCGGCAATCTCCTTCCTCGACTTTTGCGTCAGCTCCGCCTTCTTCTTTTCCAGCAGTTTGAGACGATTCAGAGCCAATCGGAGATTGGTCTTCAGCTTGTTGTAGTTGGGCCGCTGGAGAACATCCTGAACGTCACCCTTGGCAGGTAAATTACTAATGAAAACAAGGAACTTTGCTTTGGTGATTCATAAACTTTGGAAAAAACAATTGGTTTCGTGACGTCACGGGAAGTAGTGTGACCAGACGGTGATTAGGTTTTAATACCGATAAGAGAACATAATTGTCCGCTCTCGGCCAAAATCAGGGCTGCCAGAGCGAGTAAGAATAATCGCACGTTCTGTTAAACTTCATGTTTCTCGTTTATTGCAACAGTTAAAAATCCGCAACATTCAAGGGCACGGCCAGCACCTCCAACTTTCGCAGAAACTGTTATAAATCGCCCCTAAAAAAGCTTCGAAACAGGGTCACCAGATCCAGAGACAGCGCTACCAGACTGCGCAGGGAAAAAGCAGCCATTGTAGTCGATAATCTTATCGGAGAATGTGAGTTTTCCCCGCGTTTTCTCTGGCTTCCACTGAGCTTTATTTGCTGAATTTTCCGGTTAACACAAATACCTTTAACAATTGTTTACATTTTACCGTTGTTTAGTGTCGCCGCCGCCGCTGTGCTATTGTGTTTGACGTCCTGCAAGTGTATCGTAGCCGCCAGACACAAAAACAGAGGTGCGAGCGCAAAACAAGCGTTCCTCGACGACATAGCGGTACTTTCGCGACGCGTGTGTACATATGTGTTGGTGTGTGGGGGCTCCATTTTTGAGTAAAAATTTCAACTAAACGTGAACGAGAAATCACTCCTAGAGGTGCGGAGCTGGTGCTGGTGGCGGGGGGCACTCCTCCTCCGTCTCCGTTTTCGCAGGGACACGCCTCCAGCTCGTCGATCATGCAGCCCTCCTCCTCGCAGATGTCTCCCGGGCCTGCCGATGGCTCCGACTCGCCGTCTCGGTAGCCGCGTAGACCTCGGCGCGTTGCTTGATAATCTCCTGGATGATGGCCGTGAGTATCTCGCGCGAGTCCACAATATGGCCGACTTCCTCGGCTACCTCGGCAGACAGCCAGGGGCAGATGCTCTTCATCAGCTGCTCCTTCTTCACGGCATCGCTGGCCGGCTCGATGTTCTCGAGAACCTCGGGCACTAGACTGGCAATGTGGCCCTGGAGCAGCTTGGCCGCCGTCACGCTCTTCTGCATCTCCTCGTCCAGCTCCTTGGCATCTGTCCTGCCGCAATCGGCGCTCCTTCTCAGCTGCAAGCGCAGCTCTTCGGCCTCCAGGCGGCGCAGCTCGGCCAGCTCCGCCTCGCGCTGGGCCAGGAATCTGTGGGTGAGTTCAGCTTAGCTTAAACATGTAAAGAATCGTTATCCTTCGACTCACTCTTCCTGCTTGCGCCGCAGACTTTCTAGTTCCATCTCGTGGCAACCTCAGCATGCTCTGCTCGATGCACGCGTCCACCAGGACATCAATGATGGGCTGGGCCTCGGCATCGAAGTGGAAGAGTCACCGTCGCCAATTCAGTGCCCACATCCACGCCCACTTTCGCCGGTACAAATGGCGGTGTGGCGGCTTCTCCAGGACAGATCTGTTTGGGTGTCCACGTGAACTCTGGCGGTCGCTGGACCAGCTTCTCCAGATACTTCTCAGTTTGGATGGTCTCGTGTTTACGTCCCTTGACCGGTGGCGGTGTGCCAGGACGTTTCTCTGATTACGACACTGCACCGTCCGCTTGCGAAGCAAATTGCGGCGCCTCAATTCGGCGGCCTTGTCGAAGGATCCACTTCCGTCTGCAGAAAAGAGGATTAGTGCCGGGTCAGGGCTGAAGCAGGACTGAGAAAATGCAGCAGAATATTTACCACCAAGGAGGAGTTGCCGAAGGTTACTGCCCTTTATGACGCGACGGTCGTACATGACGTCTTGTAGGGCTCCGGCGGCGGCACGATGGGTCTGCGGAGGAGGAAAAGCACAGAGAAAGGTAGAAGAAGCAGGTGAGAAAGCCATCAATTAGTAAACCTCGACCTAGTTCAACAAACTCCACACTTGCAGAAATAACAATAATAATCAATCCTTTAAAAGATATCTTTTCAGATTACTATAGGTAATTTGAAGACTTCAGGGTATCGTATAAGGTTTATAGGATTTCAAAGTACTTTGAAGGGATACATATTTTTGTAATGATAAAATTCAATTGAAAACTAAGGTTCTTGAATGAATTTATAGTATTTTATGGATAATGTATTTTCTTACGACCTAAATTGTATTAATATGGCTTCTTGTGGAAATCCAATCAGAACTTTTTCCCAATTGTACACAAGGATATTGTCTTGCCTAAACTTTTAGGAGCTAAAATTTCATATTTATATATAATTTTCATTTTTAATCTTATTCTCATGTTCACAGTGCTTATTCTATTTGTATTTATAGTTTCTTTTCCTCTTTCTAGAACCTTAAATCTGTTGCACTGCCAAAGACGCGATAAACATCAAATTTGTGCATTTTCTGAACGCCCTCGCAGGCCGCTTGTCAAGTCATCTCCGATTCGAATCAATTTCCCAAAGTTCACTACACTTTTGGGTCAAATGGCAGACCTGCTTCGCCCAGCGTTAAAGCTTTAAGGTTACGCGAGAGTCCAGTCGGGTGAGTAGTAATTTATGACTTGCTAATCTTTATGTGTAAGAACAGAACGGCCAAGTAAATGGGGAATACATGCAGTATTATTCACATGTGTAGTACATAACGAAACATTCGCAGACATTGCAAATAGGAGGAACTTGGCACCTGAACTCGTGACCTATGCAAATTTTTCAGCCACTTTTGGCCCACAAAACAGGAAGTCACATTGAAGTTACTTGCTAACAAACAACGACGACGACGTTTCTCTCTGGGTCTGGGTCTGAAGACCCCGAATAGGAAGACCAATCTGTTTAATGGAGGTGGGTAGGGAGTTGTAACCTCTATCCTCCGGTCAGGTGGCAGGCCACCTTGTATCCTATTACTGGCTTGCATTCAGTCAAATGCTTTTATGGCCTTCCTATTGCCACTTTGAATGATGTTCCATATTATTCTATTAACCCTTTTTTTTTGGTCTCATTTACCAGAATAGCTTCCTATCATAGTAAGTGTCCCCTTGGCTCCCCTTTTGGTGTGGTAATTGAACTGAATTTCCCTCCATTTGTGGCACTATTTTTTACTCTTTCCTCGACTTATCCCTTTGTTGTTATTTACAAAATCTTGATTTAAATTATTTAAGCTGGTGCGCTAGGGAATATAGAATATTCTCCTCTGGCACGACACATTCGAGGTCCTTTGTTCGCATGTCCTTTTATGCAAGGCGAAACGAGTGCTGTTTCCCGATACGAGAATGCGCTAAATAAATTAATCACATCGCTTGGGGAATTTACAATGTCCGAATGTTATTGGAAAAACATTTCTAATTGAATTGTTGAAGAGTCAATAGAAGAGGGTCGGGCTTTTAAATAATTAAAGTACTGGAAAGGGAGTTAAGTAGCAATAGAAGGTATAGGATAAACAGGTTAAAGCTATAGAGCTTGGATTAAATAAAAATAAAAATATATAACTAGTGGGTAAAGAGATCTACGGAATAATTCAAATAGATCATTTTTAGAGGAACCAATAATATACCGAAAACATTTTAAAAAATCCTAAAAGTTTCCTAAGAGCATCCCTTGAAACGTTGTGTTCTTCTGTACTCTTTGTTAAATAGTTTATAAGATACTAAGTGTCTTATTGTAAACATTTTTAAAAAAAAATTTAAATTTCAAAGAATCTTTTAAGCCATTATCAACTTTAAAGGGTCGAATAGTATAGTTATTTGTTGACTCTATAAGAGCTCTTGGTTTGATTTAAAGACCACAAACGCTTTGTAATTGAATTGTTAAGCTGTCAATCGATAAAGGGCCAGAAAGGAGCAAGCTGTGGGTTCCTGGTGCTGGTGCTGGTTCTGGTTCTGGTTTGAATTCCATACCAGCCCCCGCCGGTGTATATTTCTCATTTGAATTTATGGTAATATATTTTGGCCCACTTTGTTGCTTGGTCAGTTCCCCATTCCATGCCCCACTGCCCCATTCGCCTGGGGTTGGCCTTTTTATTACCTCTTGTCGCTTTGGTTGCGACGCTGCTGCAATTGCTGTTGGAACTGCGCCTTGGTTATGTGCAGGCCACCGGCCAGGGAT